TACCAAATGTCCTCGGCGATCAAGGCTTGGGTGCCGTCACTCGAAGTAGGACTGTGAGCGTTGAGATCGCCGAGGATGAGAAAAGGGTTTTGAAATGGAGCAACGAGTTGGTCAAGTTGCCGTAAGAGCTACGTTTGCTATAATTTGGTGTAATGTATACTGAGCACATATCGATGGTACGGCCATGCAGCTACACTGAACATGCAACAGCCTGAAAGAGGTGTGTTAAGAGTGAGTGGCGTGTGTGTTAATTCTTGACTAGTGTACAGCGCCGCGCCACCTTGGCGACGCTCACCGTCCGCGGTGTCACAGCGATGCAAAGAGTAATTTGGCATTTTAAAGTTATATGTGTCGGTGGGACGATACCATGTTTCCTGTACGGTAATGATGATTGGAGCTGATACGGCAATAAGTGCTTTTATTTCAGATCATTCTGAAATCGGATCGCATCTATTGCACTGTAAGATGAAGGACGTTTAATGGTGAAGTGACCCATCCCCACCGGTTGATGGGAATCGCCCGAGCGAGACAGACCGAGGCCGTTCCATCGCTACCCTCACTGATAGACCGGACCGACGGTCTTCGTTTGGGCGTGTTTCGACAGGTATTGTGGTGGGGGTGGGTGGGGGGGGGTGGGGGGGGGGGGGGGAGGGGGAGGTGACGGTTCTTGTGGGCGGCCAGAGGGACCGGGCTGCCGACTGTTCATAGCCGGAGGGCTGGAACGCCGAACGGCTTGAGCCGCACAGTGTATCGCGCACAGCCGGCGGGCTGGACCACCGGCCAGCCTTGGGAAGGGAGTGAACGGGCGTCTGGGCATCCGAGTGCCCAGCCAGGGACGACTCAACGGCATTTGTCGTCTGGGTCTGTGTAGTCGATTCAGCTGAGACCGAGGGGGCGGGGGGTAGAAGCTTCAGGGGAGGCGGATGGGTAATGGAGTCTATCTGTGTTCCACATGTGGCCATCGTGGCTTTTGCTACTTGTGCATATGTTTTGCTAGACTGGGACGACATTTTGGATTTAATAATGCGCCATGCGTCGGTTTACGACACACCTGTCTATGTCTTTTCAGAACAAATTTATTCTTCTTTTTCCATGTGGGACACTGAGGAGCGTTGGCGGCGAGATGAGCACTTCCACAGCTCAGACATTTCTGGGTGATGTGCAGGCAGACCTCTCGTGAGGAGTCTCGCCGCACTTCAGGCATCTGACACTCTGTTTGCAGTACTTGCTGCCGCGTCCGAACCGCTGGCATTTGAAACACCTGATTGGATTCGGAATAAGTGCTCTTACTTTATAACGAAGGTAACCAGCGGTGAGCGTGTCTGGAAGTCGGGTGGTAGCAAAAGTGATGACGAGCAGGCTGGTGTGGCGACGCTGACCATCTCTGAAAGTCGTCAGCCGGCGGTCATGGCAAACTTGCTCGTCTCTGAGCTCCGCCAGGATCTCGTCCTCCGTGATGAAAGGGAGCTCAGGCGCGAAGATGGTGCCTTTACTGGTGTTTCTGGCATGGTGCAGGGGGACTTTTACTTGTTTGCCACAAAATTCATTTGTTTTAAGTAGGGCCTTGGTTTGTGCGCGAGTGGATGTTTTAATGATGAGTGATCCGTTTGCCGGTGCTTCAATTTTGAGTTCGCATGAACCGCAGATAGCCTTGATTTGTTTTGATGGCAAGAAAACGTTGATCTTCCGGAATGACACGTTCTCATCCCAAGACTGAACAACAACGTAGGAGCCGAGAGGATCCAGAATTGGATCAGAGGGCGGGCGAACACTGGTCACTGTCGAGCGAGGGTCAGCATCAGAGCGAGCAGGCACCGGGGTGGTCAAAGATGAGTGAGGGTCGGAACCAGGGACGTTGGGTGGAGACGGGTGCTGTCCAGACACCGCGACGGAAGTGCATGAACCAATGGAATGGAACTAGCGTGCGCGGAGGTTATCAGCCGAAGTGGTGGGCTAAGCGGGGCTGGCGGCACTTCCATCTTCTTTACCCAGGGAATTGGCGATGTCAGAGGCCGAGTTCGAGTCCGTGTCAGTGTCGTCCTTACGCTTGCTTTGCTTACCCATATTGGGGGGAGCGAGAAGAGAACAACACAAATTAAGCGAAAAGGTGCGTTTGGAGCTAGCGCGAACAAAAAAGCGGCGAGAACGACGGTGCGAAAAAAGGACTCCTTGTCAGAGGGTCGCAAAAGGAGGAAACCACTTGCTGAGTTCTTGCCAGACGGGTATATGGCCACCGAATGGGTTGACGAGAGCCGTCTGTGTGGTTAACGTGTTTCGTAGGGGCCTTACCACTCCCTTATCAACCTGCCCGACTGCGCGTTTGGGCAATGCCTTTTCAAGCGCCCGAAGCCCCACCAGGACCAGTACTGAGGCTCCCATTGGCGTTCTTCAGTGGGTGTAGGCAGCCGTCTGCCGTAACCATCTGAAGACAAGCCGCCGTCATCACGCGTCGCGCGCTGCCGCCCACGCGGCGGATCAGCACGACGCGCCACAATCTGGCGAGCGGCGTGAAGATGCTGGTTGGCGGGGCTTCCGCTAGGTGGCAGCCGACCGCTCCTGCGACCGCCCAGAGCCACGGCTAGCACCCGCTCACCTCGCGGTCAAGCGACCGCGAACCGTACCGCTCGCGGCGCCAGCAGCCCTTCGGCTCGGCAAGCCCGTGACCGCGTCGAGACGACTCAGGCGATGACGTAAAGGTCTGTTGCGCTCCGCATTGCACTTCTCCGCTCTCCGACCGGTGCACGTGCGGAGAACAGTGCCGCTCACTTCCCAACGAGCGGGGGCGAGCTCTTCTCGCGCTCTCCGACCGGTGCACGTGCGGAGAACAGTGCCGCTCACTTCCCAACGAGCGGGGGCGAGTTCTTCTCGCGCTCTCGACAGCTGCGTCGAACGACGCTACGCCATGGCGCGACAGTAGCATCCTCTCTTCAGCCGATAATCCCACCAAAAGATGGCGATACACTGCAGCTTGGTAGACTGGAGCGCAAGTTTGTTTTTACGTAACCAGCCGGGTAAAAAAAAACACTATGCAAGCATCCTGATGAGAAGGGTACTCCAAAACAGACATTGCGCCTTTTTGAACAGTACTCATCTGAGCAGCTGCCATTTCCGGTCGTCTGGCGCATGGAACATTTTGCTTCAGTAAAGAGGGTACGTCCATTTGGTCGGTACTGCCTTAGCCAGAGGTGGATCAAGAGTGATGCAGGGGCGCGACGGCCCTAGCACGCCAAGTCTGAAGTTAAAATCAACCAAGAGTCCGAAATGCAACACTTTAACAAAACTTTACGCTGAAAGAACTGCAATGTGCAAGACACAGCTAACGTTTAAAATATGTGCTGAAAACTTCAAGGCCGTCCGGTCTGTCTAATGTGTATGGCAAGCCTCACCAGAAGGTGACAACTTCGCGCAAATCAGCTTGAGGGCCACCGGCAGGGGAAGGAAACGTCCGGGACAGGAGCGTGCTATGGGGCAGATGAGTTTGCCAAAGTAAGCCTATTGCCGCAGGCAGGAGGAGAGCCGCTGTAAAAGACATTTGTTTAAACAAGCGATCATCATACAATGGTGTTGGCAGCATCTGACAGTGTTATGCATGTTTTAGTTACCCGGTCAACGCAATTTTGCGACTTGAAATATTTATTTACCGAAATGAACGATCATCTCTGTCAAATTATGGTTCTCGATTGAATCGCGGACCCAGAATAACTTGCTTTTCAATATCCGCGTTTTAGTTTTGACTCCACGGGCATCAACCTGAACTCTCCTGAACAATGCGGTAAAGTATTTTTTTACAGAATGTTTGCTTATCGTTGACAGACCCATCAAAACGAATGTATGCTGTAAGATTCAGATGAAGAGCCATTTGAATATTCAAAACCGCACTATGCATATGCGACCAAGGTTGGTCGCAACCGGTCGCAACTACCTACGGACGGAGTTCATTGACTGGAAGTTCTTTCGAGGATCAAGCCGCATTACAATTAAAGGGATAAGGCTTAAAGCTCGTTTAAGCACGACTCCCTTTATATATACATGTCCCTCTTTATCTCTCTCTCTCTCTCTCCTCCTCTCATCTCCATCTCTCCTATCTCTCTCTCTCTCTCTCTCGTCTCTCTATCTCTCTCCTCTCTTCTATCTCTCTCTCTTCTCTCTCTCTCTCTCTCTCTTAATCTCTATCTCCTCATCTCTCTCTCTCGCTCTCTCTCTCTCTCTCTCTCTTCTCTCTTCTCTCTCTCTCTCTCTCTCTCTCTCTCTCTGCTCTCTCGTGCTCTCTTCTCTTCTCTTCTCTCTCTCTCTCTCGCTTCATTTTCTCTCCTTTCTCTTATTTTCTCTCTTTCTTTTCTTTCCTTCTCCTCTTCTCTTCTCCTTTCTCTCCTTCTTTCTTTTTCTTTCACAAACATTAAGATCACGTTGCCACCATTCCTGCCTCCACTGCTCGGACTGAACTGGACGCCGTGATCGAGCCACCGACCCTGCGTTCCTAACATTCCATAAAAGCGTGGAGTCGACCCCCCTCTCTGCTTGCATTTAGCCCGACGGATTAAGCGGTAACAAATTTCGTAAGAGACGTTACGCATAAACGATCTCATAAATCTCTTGGCAGCGTGCGAAATCTTGCCGATAAACTGGCCTAAATATCTTATATCACAGGCGCAGCAGGGGACTGGCGGCATCACGTTCAGGTGACATAGATAAGTTTTGAGTTTTGGCAGCCCTGCGCATGCGCGAGTGTGCACTATGAGGACAGAGCGCGCGGGCGCCGCGGGCATTGGTGGTGGGGACGCCGCGGCAGGAACCGCGAGGCTTGCTGCCCCCCACGATGCGGCCAGTGTGCGTCGGCTGGCGCTGGGCGCAGTGGTGGGACTGCTGACGATGCTGGTGGCTGGTGTCGCTGAACAGCCACCCCGCACTCACCGCTGAAGCTGCCCGCCCGTCTGGCAGGGCGACTCCTACCGACCCGCCGAGCCGTGGCCAGGCTGTCCTTGCGTGGCCGCTTTGTCACAATGGACCCGACCGGTCGTCTGGGCAACAAGCTGTGTCAGTACTCGTCGTTCTGGGCGCTGCAGCGCCGCGAAGTAAGCGCCCGGCCCGCCTGGACGCTGCCGGAGATGCACAGCGAGTTGTCGGCCCTGTTCAGTGGCTGCAGCTGCCGGTGTTGCCAGAGGCCTGCGCCCGCCAGCAGGAGAACTTCTTGAGCATCAGCTACTTCCACTACGGCGAGAGCGGCACGGGACTGTCGGACGGGCCCCTCCTCCTGCTCGACCACCCGTGCTCGTTGACCGAATTCCACCCGTACCGGCGCGAGCTGCTGCAGCAGCTGCGCTGGCGGCCCGAGGTGGAGGAAAGCGCGCAGCGCCGGCTGCGGACCGCCACCGCTGCCGTCTGCCGCGGCACGCCGGCCGACCCGTGCACCTACGTGGCCGTGCACGTGCGCCGCACCGACTACGCCCAGCAGGTGCGGTCCATGTACAACGGCAGCCTAGTGGGCGATGTGTACCTCCGTCGTGCGCTCGAGCTGTGTCGGCAACGCTACCACCGGCCCGTGTTCGTCGTGTCGAGCGACGACCTGGCCTGGTGCGGCCGTCATCTGGCAGCTGCCGACGTGGTGTTGGCCGGCTCGACGGGCGCCGGCGCGGCTGGCCGCGACATGGCGCTGCTCGCCCAGTGCAACCACACGGTCATGACGCACGGCACGTACGGCTTCTTCGCTGCCTTTTTGGCCGGCGGCGACGTGGTGGTACCGGTGGGCTTCGGTACCATGGAGGACTACCTCACCAGTATGATGCGAAGTACCGGTTTTAACCTCACCACCGTGCCAGTCGAGTGACGAAGAGGCACACTTTTGCGACACCAAGGATGCCATATGAGGGATGCCATATGACTGCCTTGCAGGCTTAGTCTGCAGAACATTGTTACATTCACTGGCCACACGATGTGATGGGGCCACTTCTCGCCCGTAGACCTCGGCACATGGACGCTGTGGGTATCCGGCGCCCCAGACATACGCATCGTGTCAAATTAGGTCCGAGAACCGACGGCGACCTGGGGGCGCGCGCGGCGGATCAGATCGCCACCGACGCCGCCGGCCCGAGCATGCCATAGATCTCGGCACACAGATGCGCAGGCCGGGCCGGCGTGGTGCTGCTCTCCCAGAAGTGCTCAACTGCTGACCGAGTGCCGGGGTTGATCTGGCTATCCATCCAGCCCCTGCCAAGACGTGACTTTCTCATGGACATACCAAAGGCCTTGCCGACCAAGTACCGAACTGATCAGTGTACAGGTCAGGCCAGCAGCGGCAGACGACCTCACTCTATGGTCGTTGAGTGGCGACGGGGCGCACTGGTGGTGATGGCGCTGGCCGCACCGGCGTTCATAGAGTGTCCAAGTTATCGTTATCGTTACATGATATGGCGCCTATCTCGATGTGCTCGATGTACTCTATTAAATTTATATGGTAATACTATGTTCATGTCAATCATCACTTGCAGAAATGGCCGCCGATGTCTGCCGCGTTAGTATTTGCTCAGCATCTGTGTCCTTGTAAAACAGATCATAGCCTGTCGATGCTTTGTTGTGAAAAGCCCGGCCGGGCGAGGTAGTCCTTCGTTTCTCAACACGATCTTGAACGCGGCTAGAATTTGTCAGCATCGGTCAGCATTGTCTTGAAATCCTAAAAATTGGGTGGAAATCCACACCCATCCCCTGGTTTCCCAGCCTCACTTCAGACTTAAGATGCTTTCCTTGAGGTCTTTCGCTGGATTTCGAGGTTGCACGGCAGCTAGCCATACACTTGCATGGGGAGGGCCAGGGATAAGCACAGCAGCAAAGTTGGCAACGATGAAAGCTCCAACAGGCGTGAGGCACTTACACACCTCACGGCCTTCCCCGACCTGGACAAAGCAGTGTAGACCTAGAGCAAATCTCACAAAGACTTGCCAGGAGCGGCAAACTGTTGGCCTCTAGTGAATGGCTGATTGGTGACCTAGGGATCGATTTTTGTCAACGCATGTTCTCAGACCGTGGAAAGCCAGTCGCCTGGCGCCGAGATGTGTTGGCGGCGTATTGGTGCTTGTCACCCCCATCCTTTTGGCGGGTTGGCCGGCACGCGCCCTTTCCCGAACCCTTATGGTGGTTGAGGTCCGGGCGGCGAGGTTGGTAGGCTGGACACCGATCCCAGTGCCATTCCGCCGCCCGCCGGGGAACGCACCGGAAGTGGGAAGTGCGCGATAACTAGCCTGCACCTCGAGAGGGACTAAACGGCTGACTTAAATCAGTTGTTAACCCATGCTCCGAGCCTATGGCACCCATCGAGATTAAACCGTCGCCATTTGATGCCGCATGGTCGATAACTCATTTCGTCTGGAATATGATGGTCTTGGGTCAGATGAAAGGTCACAAAATATCCAAAACCGAAAAACAGGGCTGCAGACAGCTCCATTTTCCGATCCTATGGTTCCGATCAGCATGAAAACTCCACCAATCTATTGCCAATATTCTACCATGTTTCGAGTCATGTTTCGAGAGCTCCTGTCAGCTGACCATGGGTCACGTCAAAAATCACCACAAAAAACGCCCAAAACCACCAAAACTGGCTGCAGACAACTCCGTGATTCGAACCTTTGGGGTCCATCAACATGAAACACCGATCGGTATGAAACCTTCATCAATCAATTTGTCATGGATGATACTCTATCCTTTCCAGAACAAACTGACCTCGGGTCGGGTCAAGCATCATCAAAAACGCCTTAAGCCACCAAAATTGGCTGCAGAAATCCCATGCTCCGAGCCCACCGGACCGACCAGTATTGAGCCTTCACCGATCGATTTGCCATAGTCGTTAACTGATCCTTTCCAGAATAAGGTCAGCTTGCGCCCAGCGGAGCACCGACAGGCTCCAGTCAGCTGGCGCCCAGCGGAGCAGCGACAGGCTCCAGTCAGCTGGCGCCCAGCGGAGCACCGACAGGCTCCAGTCAGCTGGCGCCCAGCGGAGCACCGACAGGCTCCAGTCAGCTGGCGCCCAGCGGAGCACCGACAGGCTCCAGTCAGCTGGCGCCCAGCGGAGCACCGACAGGCTCCAGTCAGCTGGCGCCCAGCGGAGCAGCGACAGGCTCCAGTCAGCTGGCGCCCAGCGGAGCACCGACAGGCTCCAGTCAGCTGGCGCCCAGCGGAGCACCGACAGGCTCCAGTCAGCTGGCGCCCAGCGGAGCACCGACAGGCTCCAGTCAGCTGGCGCCCAGCGGGCACCGACAGGCTCCAGTCAGCTGGCGCCCAGCGGAGCACCGACAGGCTCCAGTCAGCTGGCGCCCAGCGGAGCAGCGGGCTCTATAGAACAGGATGCATGTCGGCACGTTGACAGCAACCAGCTATCGATCGGTGATCGGCCAGGGACCTCCGGCATTGTCATTACACCGGAGACAATCAAGCCCTACCCGAAAGCACAGCCTCGAGCACGAAACCGAGCGTCAAAGGAAAGAAATACAAGGTGTGAAATCTTGACAGATGCTCCCGTTT